TGGAAGGCAGCTAACAGAAGGAACTTTTCAGAGTTACAAAAAACACATAGCAGTGTCTATTTTTCACCTGCAAGGCACAGTATGAAGTCTACTTGGCTCAGAGTTTACTAGGATTTCTGAAGAAAATACTGCAAAGGCAAAAAGAAACCTATTACCTCAGTTCACAGAGAGAGCTATCCATCCTCTGAGTTTTATAGCTTGATTGGATCAGTGTTTTTTCTTAGTATAGCATATCCCAGCAAACTCCGATACTGGTTTTCATATAGGATGATCATTCAGTTGCACTGTGAACATAGCTGCATTGCATTTGCCCTCTTCCACTCTTGAAGATCTTTGTAATGTAAGAATTACAGCTTGGCGCAGTTACCAATGTCCTCTTAAAAAAACCCCACCACGCCACCAGCCACTGATTCTCTGAGAATCTTCAGAGATCTATCGAATTTGAACTTTAAGAACTGCTTGCTCCCCCTCTCATTTCTCCCTTCCACCCCGCTTTGTGAGCACAGCTTATCTCTGTATGGCATCCTCATTGTGTTAGTCAATGCAATTTGCAGAAGCATTTGGAAGATCATTCCCCATACAGGATTGCCTGTTTAAGGAAGGCAAAGTCACCTGATACTCCAGCATGATGCTGAAGACAGAAATTACTGCTTGGGGCATACGATAATGCACAGATACATAAGAGATTAAGGAAGAGTTGTAGTCCAAAACTCTGTGAGATACAAAACACATTGGTGCAAGGTGATGCCCCCAATTTCTTTTTTCCCCGTAAACTCAAATCCTTATGCAAATCAAGACTTCAGCTTTGATATACTCTAAATCATCTGGAGATCAGGTGTTTTATCAGTCTTTGTGACTTGTTTACTTAGTGATGTATACTTCCTACACTGCTACTTTCAGAGTACTAACTTCAATAAATTACCTACACCCAATAAAGGTGTACTTTATTTTGTGCATGCAAAATATAGCTATCAAAGTTTTCTGTAGACATGTGGACAGTTTAGAAAATGAGATAGCAAGAGCTAATCACCCTTCATCACCAGTCAGAATGACAGCTGTCACACTTGCTTTGCTGACCCAGTACAAATAACAAACTGAGATCAAAATCATCAGATTTCAACTGTCTTTTGAACAAGACCTTCAGACGAAGGGTGAGATGAGGAACAGCATGGTTTTGTCTTGAAAATCTCCTACCACAGTGCAAGAGTCTTGTTCTTTAAGCATACAACAGACAAATGAGATCTGTATTCAAGATCTGTATTCAAGACTTCTGTCTCAAGTGTTTTCTGTATTAGAAGATGACTCTACCACATTTGGCTTTCTATCTAATCTCAAGAACATCTGACTTGTAACATGATGATTGCCTGCCTTTTGGAAAATAACTGGGCATCTTCTGAGCAGCTACACTGTATCTGTAACTCTGTATTTGATTAAGGTTTGACAATGTTGGTCTGATAAGAACTTAACCAAAAATATCCACAAGAGCAATGCTGGCAGCCTTACTATTGCAAAAAAACCCAAAACCCAAAAAGCCAATAAAAAAAAATCCTGGGCACAAAAACTCAAGGCATCTAAATGGAGAGGTAATAGATCACTCGAAGGCTCTGGAACAACTTGAACATTTTTGCTAGAAAACAGAGTTCTAACAGAGAGGAGAATCCCCTGCCATGGATTGCCATAGGCAGCCCAGATCTCCAGCTCTCGGGCTTCTCATAGCACATAACTCAGCTTCTGCATAAAACAAGGTTTCTAGTACTTTACATCAAGCAGAAAAGTCTAAAGATACAAACCAGGTTTCAGCCTTCACCTCCCAAACCCCAGTTGCACAATCCTTTCCGTTTCTTGCGCTAGGTCTGAAACTCTTGATTCCGCAGCAAGCTGATTCAGTTTGCTAATTGAGAAGAAAGATTTTCACTTTTTCTTCTCAAATCAGTTTCCTACTGGTTTAACATGCTAAATCATCTCAGCGCAGGCTGGGACAACAAAGCTAGATGCAAGGTAGGAATGTAGATCGTGAGGCTGGAAAGAAAGGAAGAGGATTATAAATTCCTCCTTTTCAGTGGCAGTAAACTAAGGGAAGACACTGAATAGCAGGAACCCTGCTTGGTTTTATCACTAAGGATAAAATGCCCCGGAGAACTGCATTAGCACCATCCAGATAACATTGTACTCCTGGGAAGAGAAAGGGCCCAGAATATGTTCATCTGAACAGGTTTAACCCTGACCCACTTGGCAGAAAGCACTCCAATCAGCTCCAAGAGAGTAAGTCCCCACCTGCTGAAGACAAGACAGAAGTTTTAAGGTCTTATCATGGAGATTTGACATACCAAAAGACAGACCAGCATGAGGGAAGCAACTGCGGTCAGCATTACAGGGTTTCAGACTGTGACAACTTTCTTTGAGGCTATCGTTATGGTTTCCAGTTCTTCACTGAATTCCTATTCCAAAAAAGTAGAGTCTCTTTGTAAGCAGTGCTTTCACCAGCAGAAAAGAAAAATGACACTTCAAAAGACAAAGTTACACTTGCTGATAGCATGTATGTAAACTGAAGGGGGTTAAATACAATCTAACCTACCAATGCTGACACACACCGTAAGAGCTCCTATGGAGTCTCATACTAAAAAGACTGTGGACAGAGGCTTAGAAATCTGATCTCTACACTAATATCATAGACTGTGTGATCAATTGTTTTTTCATTTATTTTTGTTTTTTAAATACAAAATAATTATCTGAATGAAACCCACACAGGTTTCTAAGGAGACATTGCATGACAGCAATTACTTTGGAACTATAAAGTTACTGAAAATGCTCTTGCTTTGTAATTTAAAAACCACTCACTTTAAGTAGCTCCAGAGAGAATTTCTTAAGTTGAATCAACAGCTCAACCCCCCTTCAAACACTACTTTAAAAAGTACTTAAAATCTGGAGGGAAAAAAAATGGCAATCCTGTATTGCTATTATCAGAAAAATGAAATAAAATTATTTCTGAATTATATTTTAATATAGTAAAGAAGGCTCATGGTAGTTCTACTTTTCCAGTTTTATTACGGTGTTTTAAAGCTTGAGAGTTTGGGAAGTTCGTAGAAGTCCTGGAAACAACAGTCCAACAAGTACCTGCACACAAACCAAATCCCAAGCCTCTCTTCCCACCTTGCTGTGTAGCTGCAGCTCAAGATGGAACATCACTAATGCAGCTTCATTCCCCTTATCCAGTTCAACACTCAACCGCTCATGTACCACTGCTCATGAGAGCAAATCCAAACTGGATTGAGTGATTTGGATTAAAAGCACCTGCTTTTTCAAAGCTTTTTTTTTTTTAGAACAGTCAGGATTTGTGAGTGTGCAAGCACATCATCATGCTGAATTGCTTTACCAGAGGAGGCAAAAACTATACTGGCTTCCCCCCAACAAAGCTAGAAATTATATAGCTGCACAGCCACAAAGCTTTTAATAGTAACAGAACATCTACGAAGAAACATGAGTGCCACAGGTGGTTTTTTCCCCTCTTTTTAAAGTATCATTCATTTTCACAAGTAATTTACATATGCAAAAAAGAAGCACCGAGAATGGGACTGGAAAGTCTTATCAATTATATTTAAAATCTTTCCTTAAAAACATTTGTTTAATCTGTTCTTTAAAATTTGATTACTAACATGGGAATTTTATGGTCTTCTTTGACCGTACCTTTAAAACCTTAGATATGAACTATATGAACTAAGTCAGACTTTATTTGAAAGTAATAACTAAAAATCAAACATACAGAACAGTATTCATAACATATGAAATATTAATTTAACAACTTAATTTTTCACAAAAATAATTTTTTAGGTATCAAGAAAGTGCCTTCCTTTTTCTGAAACAAAAGCCATCACCTCTTGAATTAAAAATTGTCCAAAAGTGAAAGCAATTGTTGATATGAGGCAGCAGAATTCTCATTTAACAGTCCTGAAATATGCTAACAAAGTAATAGAAACTCTCTTCCTACAACAGCAAGAAAACAGAAGTCCCAGTCCTCATTCAATATTTGAAGCATTTGTCAAATGGTAGAGAACCATGATAAGGAACTATGTGATCATCTCTGAGAAATGAAAGCACTGCATCTCAGTGATTTTTTTTTTTTTTTTTTAAGAAACAATTGCCTTCAGCTATTACAACAGATACCCGTGGGGGGAAGGTGAGGAGGAAGAGGAAGCACCTCACTATTATCCAAATTCCTCTCTTGATATCCATTACAGCATTTTTGAATTCCTGACAGCTTTTTCTCAAGAGCAGCTGAATGTAAGGAACAGTGCTTCTGCACTCCACCATGAAAAGGTCCACACGTATTTCCATTCAAGGGTAATAATCTATTTTAAAACGAGAATTTATTGTGTTGTAGTATAAAGACACTAAACACAAAACAAAGTGTTTAACAACATGAACATTGACACAAAATAAAAGCAAGATCATTTCAAGCCAATTTCGTAACCATTTCATGTGAGAAATTCCAAGTAAAAGAAAGTTACATACACAGGGTCACCCTATGGAAAGGATGGCACCACCTTCATCTAATTCAAGCCCTATTTCAGGACATCATAGCATTGTCAGAATAGTTGCATTATTTTGAGGGCTTGAGTGGTATATAGGCTTTGTTTTGGCCCTCTGCATATAGGTGAACTTACCCACGGATCTACAAGAGAACCAATGGAGGCATTTCTACTGTAAACTAAAAGACCTGAGGTACATTCTTTTCTAATCTACCTTGCATTTTTTTTAGCTAAGTATACTGGGGAAGGGGGGTGGTATTAAAGAGCAGCATAAATTTGGTTATATAACTTCATCGTAGTCCATGTGATAGGTCAATAAAAGATATAATGCTTTGCACTACAATACACATCTTCAACAAAATACATACAGTATGTCATAAAGCTTCTTTGAAACCATGTACTGTAGTATGGCAAGCCACCATGTGAAAAGATACACGAATTTGAGACGATGTACTTGAACCATTTCTTCAGAGACATTACCTTGTGTCACAATAAGGTCTCCTTCCTGTGGACAGATCCTGTGACAGGATCCATTATGTGAACCATTCATACATGAATTTCTCAAAGACGCATCAATCCTTTCAATCAATAGAGCAGTTAACATGAATATACAGATTAAGTATCAGATTACTGCTCTTTTATATGAACCACTTCCAAAAATAACCAGTTTGATTAACTCACAACAATAAAATATTGCTAAACAAATAGTTAGGAACAGAACTATTTCATTTGCTTAAAAGGACTATTTTTGGCTCTTAAAAGAAATTGAATTCTATTTTTTAAAGGCTCATCGTGAAAGCATACACACACATCAAATTTATGTCCAAAGCTAGATTTTACCATTGAGTTTTAAAGGCCAAGAGATATTTTCAATACAGTAGAAAAAAATAGCAGTTCTTGAAGTATATTGTAGCCTCACTTCACTGGCAATATCCATAACTCAGTTGCTGTACAAAACACTTCTCTGAAGCAAATCCATCTGAACTCTAGCCACCCTGAGTTAAGCATCTATACTTTTTAAAAACATTTTAAACATTAGGTAACAGAGAAGTATGTACAAGGCTATAAAACTTGTCAGTTATCATACAGCAGTAAGAAAAAAAAAAAAATCAGTCTTTTCAGCCAATTTTCTGTTTGTTATTGTAGTTATTAATTCTGGGTTAGGGTGGTTTTTTTTTGCTTTTGTTTGTTTGTTTTTAAATCAAGTAGTTACCCAATTTAAACATTCATGCATTAATCACTTGAATTTTTTTTTTGAGTGCAACAATAAGGCAACAGTAAAAAAAAGTTATAGAAATTTTGCATATGTGTAAAGGTATTACGTTTATAAAAGTGCTTCCTAAAAAGACAACCTAATTGCAGTATCAAAATATTACAGAGTGGTGAGAACAACTATCTATTATTTCAATAAATGTTGCTCCATAGAAAAACGTCAATCTGATTTTAGGCTTTTCCCCCTTTTTTGGTGAAGTAAAAGCCTGGAAAAAAAATTGGTATGGCTGGTGGGACAAGCAAGTTAAGAAAATATACTTTAGTCTAAACTTAAATAAGAAGGTCCACACTTTTTTGTCAAAACATTAAGCCTCTGTCAAAAATGTATTTTTTTTTTCTTTTTATAGTACAGGATTAAAAGACAAGATGATGCTTACAAGATAAAGAAATAATTTACATGAAAATATCTTCTGACAAAGCTTTTAGATCAAAATATTGTTTTGTAACATTCAAACATGACATACAACAACAAAAGAAACAGTGAATGCAAACAAAAAATGTTATATGGATTGCTTTCAAACACATAAATAAATGAAATATTGGTGTAGGCAGTAGGGCTCATGCTGATGGCTAGCAGGAAATAACAGTGTGCAATCTATTTGGAAAAAGCTCTAAAGTACAAATTACAAGCCCAATTACGGACTGCAGCAAGTTCAGTTATATCACTGCCATCCTCTCCTATCTCCAAAATAAATTCTTGATTAAATCACTCATACCCTAAATTACTCATACCTTTGCTTCAGAGATATGAATAACTATATACAAAAAGTAGTTTTATTTCACCATAGGGATAACATTGTACCTCTCTGCCAATGTCACCTGAAGAACCTCCCATGTCAAAACAATTTGACAGCAGATAAACAATTTAATAAATACGTAATGATCTTATTACAGTCCTTCAGCTAAGCATGTTAACTCATGCTGCTAGTTTTGTGATCACAGTGCATAGAATCCAAATATAAAAGAATGGGGTGGCTTTTAAGGTAATGGTTGATCCCTTGCCTATAACCCAAATATATCCGAAACTTTCAGAAGCTCTGTCATGCAGCTATCTTTTTTGTGGCAGGAGCAAAACCTTTCCCTGGTACAATGTCCATTGCCGGCAATGGATGCACCAAAACCGCCAAGGAGCTCAGTGTTATTGCACAATATATGAAGACCTGGAATTCTTCCAAAAGCTTAAAATAAAAATAATGGAATTATTCTGACATTTCTGGACACCTGCATTAATACTGTATGACTAATAAAAGCATGTCAGTTGCATGGACTGAACCAGCGATCAACATGCGCCCAGAATGCACACTAGTAAAAATGCAGTCAAAGGAAGTAGTCTTCATTGCCTATAGGTCACTTCCAGTCAAAGGTTAAAGTTCAAAGACTGAATGATCAAAGTGCTCATTTTCTCAGTAGGACTATCTTCTGCTACGAGGATCACAAAATGGTGGCATCAACATGTGTCATCTTTAAAATAAAAGAAGAGTATTTATGGAAAACATGTAAACATTCTAAGTCCAACTTAGCAAGGCGCTGTACACAGAAACAATTCCTAGCAAAGACAGTAACACGCAGTGGAAACACACCAATCAAATAATTCTGCGGGTTTGTTCAATAATGACTCAGGAAAAAAAAAAAAAAAAAGGAAGAGAATATCAAACATAAAACTTCCAAAATACACATACACCCCCAAGCACATTAGTATTAGCAAATATTCCATTAAAAGGACAGTAATGTCCACATTTGATATGTAGAAAGCCACTCATTAGGAAAATGAAAGACCAAATATGCTTAACATTTTGCCCCCTTGAAGTACAGCAGGTCCACATCAGTTATCAAACTGAGAAATCCTTTTGTAAAGAATATATAGCAATAAAAGCTGGCAGAATGGACTTCTTTTGATGCATTCTCAACCCTTCAGTTATATGTATGTATATACATTTATTTCTCAAGAATCAACACAAACTATAGCTGACAGAATTATGCAGAAGTAATGGGTTACTACCGTAATCTTAAAGCCTTAAACATGAAAATAACTTAGTTTCACTAAATTTTAGTTACTGTAATTGAATAGAAGATACTACAAAAAGAAGACTATTCTATGCCAATCTCTCCTGCATTATGCTCAATATTAACATCAGTATTTGTCTGTGAAAGCTCTCCCTTTAGAATTTCTTCTCCACACATTGACCTGCAGTATATTTGCATCTGGTAATAGTAAATATTAAGCTTGTTACAGAAAGCAAACTTACTGTCTGGTTACTTTTAATGCACTTACTTGTAACCTTGTACACCTAGAAAATGTAGCCTCATATACAGTATTTTCATTGTTTACAGATTTACTATGTACGAAGTAGCAGCGAACAATTCTACATTCTCACTGGAAAACATTATGTCACCAATACTACTACATGTAAAAAACCCTTTTCATTTTGATAGGGGGGTAAAGAACAAAAAACTGTACATGTAAGAAAGATTAGACAAGGATGCAAGAGAGACAGAAGGGGTATATAAATTGTGTACTAAAAGTTTAGGCCAAATACCAGAGAAAACTTTTTAACTAAAAAACCCCCAAAAGCAGTAAGAAGGTGCTGGTTAAAAACACATGCCATTGCCCTCTCCCTGCGCCACCCCACCATCTACTTCCTGACAACACCAGAAACAGACAACAGCTTTATGAAACCAATTTCAGCCTGGATGTCCAAGAAAACTGTATCTGAAGATCCTCCTGTCTTTAACACAGCACAATCAACCCTCAGATTGAAATTCAGCATGAAATTCAATGTATAGTTGAAGCAGACGTTGGGTAGGGCAGACTATCTAGAAATAATTTTAGTTATCAGAGATCAGGACTTGCTTGCGAGGACATCAGTTTGTAGCAAACAAGGCTCCATAACTCTGCTTTATGGAATAAATTGCTTTGTTGGGGCAGGGATGAAACAAGAGATTAAAAACTCTGTAATAAGCTAAATACAGAGACACACACATTTACATGTCAGAATATATCTCAGAGTGTCACTTTATCCCTCTGCGTTCATATCTGTTTGCTTTTACATCAGCTCCCAATCATGCACTATTTGCTGCCAGCTAAATAAATTCCAGGCACCTACCGGAAAAAAATTTCCTTTGGAGGCATAATTTTAAAGTGATGACAGTCTTCCTCCTTTCTCTTCAAGACATGGGGATTCAATTTCACATTAAAGCTAAGCCAGTCCAGAGGCTGGCTGACAACACAAAGGGCAGAACCATTCTACATCTCCCTCTACATGCTCTTGTATTAGCACTGGCATTTATTTCACCCAGCGGTTACCCTTGGACAACTGGTTTTCTTTCTTGGTTGGGACTGGTTTTTCTCCCGTAATTTGAACCACTTTGGGCTGGGTAACCACAAGATTAGATATGTGACACTTTGCTTGAAGCAGGAGCAGAAAATGAAGATGACAAAACAACCTTTTCCAAGAGCTTGTAAATCTTTTCAGGTGTACATAAAGTTGAAGACAGTTCTTTTCCAGAGAGAGGTGGTTAAAATTAGCAGGCAAGCTACACTTCCCATTTTAGTGTAACCCACTATTTCCTCAAACCCATTAAGAAAACACTGCAAATTTAAAGATCATGGCTTGGCAGTCTTGTTGTAAGTCCATAGAAGAGAAACAAAATTACTTGTAACTGAGACGAGGAGCAAGTGGTATGCAAAACTTCACGGAAAAGCCCTCTAGCATTTAAGAAAATTTTTGTCCAATGGACATTGGGCAGGTTTTATCTTTTAATGCAAGGATCGGGGGGGTGCAGGGGTGCAAAAAGCCCAATGAATTTTTAATCATGACCTGTTTTATAATTAGGACTTAAAAAGGAAGTTAAAAAACAAAGATACAATGAAGCAAAACAGTATGAGTTATCTAAATGAACTGACTTGCTTTCTCTTGCCTCAGGTTGGTTTTTAGGTTGCTCTGAATTTGGGGAGGGGTAGGGTTTTCTGACTTTCGTAGAACAGCCATTGCATAGTTACTTTGAAGTAACTAAATTATTTGTTCAGTGAACTATAAGCAGCTTGATGGTTTTGAGCCACAATTATATAGCAACTTTCATAGTTAGATAACTCACATTTCTTTTCATACTCATTTGGTGTTTTGCTTGTTTAACACAAATCGAATTTTATGAATAAGAAATCAAAGTAGTATCTGCAGACTGTTCTCCTTGATAAAGACTTCAATCCTGAATCAAAACGAGACTCTAGTACAAATTCAAAGTAGTCAGAACATATTTTAATCATGAGATAAAGCCAATAAATGAAACTTTACTTCTTCTCTTTAAAAATAACTAGCAAGTAAAAATAAAAAGTTAATAGAAACTCTCAGAAAACTGCCCATAAAGAGAAAGCAAAACTAGAAATGGAGAAGCACCAAACACATCACAAGAGTGCAAAAACAGGAAGAGAAGAGAAAGTGACTATTGAATAATCTGGTGAGAATGAAAAACCCAGCCTTGTGGGCAATAGGATTATTACTCTTAGAGCCAACTTTAAAATCAGCATAATGTAAAGCCACACAATAAACAGTCCTGAGTTTCTTAAATACCTCTTAATCACATGACATACAGCACTCCTCTTACTGTAATTGAAGTCACCTTGGTTTAGAGATACTATTAGAGTACTATGAGAAACAGTTTCATTCTGTTACATTACCATGTATCTCATCAAATGTTATGAAACTTTCAAGGCTTTATTGTTAAGGTATCCCTGGGCTTTTAAGAATCTAAGGGTGTAGGCTTTGGCATTTGCCTCTCCAGTGATTAACTCCAAATGTCTCAAAACACCTGGTCTCATTTTATGTAGGGGACAAAACATGTCCTGGGGTGGGAGGCAATGAAAAACAGAAGATGCCTTATGATGTGAGCCTTCAGTGAAATGTAGTGATGGGATCAACTCCTCCTGCACCAGCCTAGCATACAGTATCACCTACTTTAACACAACCCTTCCCAAAATACATGGGCTTCCAATAACCACCATTCGTACAGTATTTTCCTAGGGAAAGCAAAGAAAGCATTGGCCAACAAGAGAGGAGAGAAGAAAAGTATAGCCTGTCTCTACGCCCTCCTTCTTTCTTTCCTCACCAATGGAGTAGATAAGACAAGCACAGACAAGCAACCCCAGCTCTGGGAAGAGGATGACAAATGTTGAAGCAGAAGAAAGAAACCACACAGTACACAGTCAGAGAGCACATGGAAAGAAAAAAAAACAAACAAACAAAAAAAAAACAAAACCCACCAAACAACAACCACCACCAAAAAACCAAAACAACACAACACTAGCACTGCAGACACTGTAGTACCATACATAGCAATTTCAGTACAGTTTGTTTTTTTTTTTAATCATGTACATGTACAATCTTATTACTATATTACTGACTATTAATTCTTAAGAGCCTTTATGTCAGCCAACTGTCCCACACTGGAAATTCTGATTAACAGTGGAAATCTATTAAAAACCTCAGCTATTTACAAACATATAGGCATCTTTTAATTGCCACAAAAGCTCTTAAAGCATTACCAACAACAACAAAAGATCCTGAGTTTAGAACTAAACCTAGTTTCATTATGGACCTTCCCCAACCCCAAACTGAAGACTTGTCACGGGCTAATACAGTTTACAAGAACTTTCATTCAAATTCAATCCCACAATTTAAAACATATAAATTTCATGTTTAAATTTCCATCAGTACTTATTAAAATGTGATATATATAAATCACAGCAGAATCTGTGATTCTCAGAAACAGGATTTTAGTAACTTTTTGATATTAAAAAAAAATAATTTAAGGTTTTGAATGCATTTATCCTCCTTTCCTACATTTGAATTGCCTTCGGCCTGAAAAAACTTCAAAATTCCTGGTCCTAGTTAAATACTTACCATGATACCACCATTTTGTTTTCTTTGGATTCTTGTTACACGTTCTTACATAAAACGAGTTATCTGGAGGTCGCCTCTGCAACAGAAGAAAAAGACCTACAAATAATCAAACAATCCTCATACTGTAATACATGAGCTATTTAATAAGCTTAGGAAAGGCTACCACATGAATGCAGTGAAAATGAGGTAACAGGCAGGGTTAGACCTTTGTCAAGAAAAATCATTTAAGGATCTAGGTAACAATTCTTACTGGAGATAATCCAAGCAAAAAATTCATGCAAAATATGAAACGGTTTGGAGATAAATAGGGGAAAAAAATAACTAAAAAGAAAGAAAACAACCCCTAAGAAAGGAACAGCTCTCATTCAAAAAAACCAAAAGAAATTCCTTTGCAGTTTAGAATCTAATTCTGATATATTAGATCCATAAGTCTCAGCTTGGAGTGGGTGAAAAAATGAACTTAAACATCTATATCAGACCAATACTTTGTATTCTTCAACTTTCTTCTTAAGTGTCATCATTATGCAAAATCAAAGCCATAGGATATGATACAAAGCCATTTTGGGGGTGTTTTTCTACCACATACACATGACTAGGACTGACTAGGATGTGACATAAATAAGCATGTTTGGATAGCACAGACGTACAGGCTCTGACCACATCTAACTTCCACAGATATTCCACTGCGAAAGAAACGGTCAAGAGTAAAAGGCCAGTCTCTTTGCAAAAAAGGTCTAAGGTATCAGTGCCAGTCATATATGACTGGAAAAGCAGCTTAGCACTATTTACTTTCCTGAAATGAAAATGATCAAGATCACTGAAATAGTACAGCTGCAAAGCCTTACAAACATCTGCACTAAAGACATTTCAGTAGTAATTTTCCACTGCCTTTAGAGACACAATCAATTTACAAAGAATTGTCCTAAAACATGGTTGAACTTCACAGTTAGTACAGCTAGAAGGGTTCCGTTCACTCCTCTTTACCAATAGTGATATACGAGCAGGTTACCATGAAAACAGTTACAAAGTACTTCCTGCACTGTTCATTTTGCAGTTCTAGTTTAGTATTTTTTCAGCAGTAGGAATATAGATATAGTAGTTTTGCCTATTTTAGAATTTGAGAAATTAAAATCTCACTTTGCAAAGCAGAAAAATATTAACCTTTATTTATTCTACTCCAGTAGTGCTAAAAAACCCCATACCTTTTCTTTGCAGCTGGAAAGCATGCTAATAATGCTAAGACAAACAGATTGCACTGAGAGAGCTGGAGACCAGTCTTCTGTTAGAATGGATAAACAGATATGACCATTGCTATAAACATGAGGATGAACAGGAATATTGTCTCCAGTAAACATGACCTAAAAAAAAAAAAAGAACAAACATAACTGTAATTTATTGTCCACATTTTAAATAAGACTGCATTGCTTTTGGGAAAACAATAGTATCTTATTTAAGAAGTGGTTCTGTCATTTTCACTTACACTAAGTATTACACTATCATGTTAGGTTCATTCATTTTTGGAAGCTATTAATTGAAATTTAATGTAAAATAAAACAATGGAAGCCTAAAAAGCTGATGAAGATGAAATTAAATAAATGGTTAAATGTAGGGCTTTTTCTATAAATAGTTACACAGCACAGAAAAATGCAGAGGTAGCAGTGTAAAGACATCAAGCTAAACTTTTTATATCTTGCAGCCTCAATCTTTTATGTCCTAAGGAATACAGCTGCCTAGCCAAAACACTGGATTTTAATGATTTCTTAAGCCACAATGTTATATACCAGAAAACACAACAAGATTAACAAATGAGTATTTCTATAACCCTGGACACAACAGAAATTAAGTTCTGGACAACTCATCCAGGTTCCAGCATAAAAAGTAAAATACATCTATCCTATTAATAAAGGACTTCTACAACCAAAGTTGTAGGAAAGCAAACTTCCATCTCTTCAAGAAGATAGTCAGAAGGACTCCCTGGGAAATGGTCCTCAGGGACAGGGGAAGAGAACAGAGCTGGCAGATCTTTAAGGATGCATTCCATAGAATGCAAGAGCTCTCGATCCCCAGGTGTAAGAAATCAGGCAAGGAAGGGAAGAGACCAGCATGGCTGAGACAAGACTTTTTGGTCAAACTAAAGGGCAAGAGGAAACTGCACAGTCAGTGGAAGCAAGGACAGGTACGCTGGGAAGAGCATAGGGATGCTGCCTGGTTGTGTAGGGATGGGGTCCAGAGGGCCAAGGTGCAGCTGGAGCTGAATTTGGCAAGGGATGCAAAGAATAACAAGAAGGGCTTCTACAGGTATGTCAGCCAGATACGGATGGTTAAAGAAAGCATAACCCCCCGATGAACAAGAATGGTGACCTAGTATCAACAGATGAGGAGTAGGCTGAGGTAGTCAATAACTCTTTTGCCTCTGTCTTCACTGGTAACCTCTCTCCTCACCCCTCCCGCATTGATGGACCACAAGAATGGGACCAGAGGGGTAAAACCCCTCCCACTGTAAGGGAAGAGAAGGGTCATCACCACCTAAGGAACCTGAACACACGTAAGTCTATGGGACCTGATGAGATGCATCCCAGAGTCCTGAGGGAATGGGCTGGTACAGTCACCAAGCCACTCTCCATGATATTTGAAAAGTTATGGCAGGCAGGGGGAGGGCCCCAGGGAACATCATGCCCATCTTTAAAAAGCGTAGAAAGGAGGACCCTGGGAATTACCAACCTGTCAGCCTCACCTCTGTGCCTGGGAAGATCATGGAACAGATCCTCCTAGAAGCTATGCTAAGGTACATGGAGTAGAGAGAGGTGATTTGAGATAGCCAGCATGGCTTCACCAAGGGCAAGTCCTGCCTGACCAATCTAGTGGCCTTCTATGATGGAGTGACTGCATCAGTGGACAAGGGAAAAGCCACAGAGGTCATCTATCTGGACTTCTGTAAAGTCTTTGACACAGTTGCCCAAAAAAAGCCTTCTCTCTAAACTGGGGAGGTATGGACTTGATGCGTAGATAAGGAATTGGTTGGCTGGTTGCATCCAGAGAGTAGTGATCAATGGCTTGATGTCCAAATGGAGACCTGGACAAGCTGGAGAGATGGGCCCGTGTGAACCTCATGAGGTTCAACAAGGCCAAGTGCAAGGTCCTGCACCTGGGTTGGTGCAACCCCTGATCTCAACAGAGGTTGGGGATGAAGGGATTGAGATCAGTCCTGAGAAGGACTTGGGGTTACTGATGGACGAAAAGTTGAACATGATCTGTCAATGTGCCCTTGGACCCCAGAAGGCCAACTGTATCCCAGGCTGCACCAAGAGAAGCATGGCCAGCAGGTCAAGGGAGGTGATTCTGCCCCTCTACTCTGCTCTCATGAGACCGCACACCTGGAGTACTGCGTCCAGCTCTGGAGCCCTCAACACAAGAAGGACATGGGACTGTTGGAGCAGGTCCAGAGGAGGGCTACAAAAATGATCCGAGGGCTGGAGCACCTCTCTTATGAGGACAGGCTGAGAGAGTTGGGGTTGTTCAGCCTGGAGAAGAGAAGGCTGTGGGGAGACCTTATTGCAGCCTTTCAGTACTTAAAGGGGGCCTATAGGAAAGATGGGGACAATCTTTTTAGTAAGGTCTGCTGTGACAGGACAAGGGGTAATGGTTTTAAACTAAAACAGGGTAGATTTAGACTAGATATAAGTAAAAAATTCTTTACAACAAGGGTGGTGAAACACTGGAATGGGTTGCCCAGAGAGGTAGTGGCGGCCCCATCCCTGGAAACATTCAAGGCCAGGTTGGATGGAGCTCTGAGCAACCTGATCTAGTTAGCGGTGCCCCTGCTCAGTGCAGGGGGGTTGGACTAGATGACCTCTAGGGGTCCCTTCCAACCCAAACCATTCTATGATTCTGTGAAAGTATGCTACCATATAGGAAATGTTTTTTGATCATTATTTCAAATAGAATATGTTTTCATTTGATGTGGATGAATATGGAAGAACAGCATTTAGAACCTTAACGCCTCTCTATTAACAGTAATATCAGTCAAAAAAAAAGGCTAGAAATGCAATTTTGACAACTATTGCTCTTACATCGAGTTTTTCTCAAACACATCATTGGCTCAGGACCAATGGAAATGGAATAAAAGTGAAACATTTGTAGCAGCATTATCCTTCTGAGCTCCTTACCTAACATAACCAGTGTCATCTTTTATGCAATGGCATAATAAATCTCTATCATTCATAACCATAATACTCAGAAGCCTCTTAAGTGTTTCCAAGTTATAGAGATATATGTATGTGTATAAGTACGTATACACGTACACAACATACCCACCTCATCACTGACTACAAGAAAGAAGAAATGCCTCTGTCATACAGGAAACTGAAATTAGAGAACTCAACCTATTTCCTAAAAGGCAGATAGATTTCTAAGGCAGCAGAAAAACTGGATGCAGAATGATCTTTTATAGGTCTTTAAACTGATATTTCTTAAGCATTGAAGAGCTTACCTTCATAATCCAGTAATGTATTTCACTTCTAACTAATGTCTTCCTTTTAGAGGAAAGCCAGAACTAGGCATACTAGGTAAATAAAAGCACGCACACTATAATAGACAACATACATTTAAAGGCAGGAAACAACCAAGTGATTAAAGCAGCAGAAGTGTAAACTGTCAATTTGCAGTAAGTAGATTTGCAGGAGAGAGAATTAGGACTCAGAGGTTTGTAATATAGAATAAACGTACTGCACAGAAGCTTTTTTATAATGGGAATTTTAACCATCTACAACAATCAAGTATCCAGTACTTAAATTCTTCATTGTTTTCTGTGCTAAAAATCAGTGCACATATATGGATCTAATTTGCTGGTTTACAATAAATCGCACAGAGCCAAACACACAGCTTGGGTAATGAGTACAAACAGTACCTACTTGCAACCAAATGAAAGTGGCTACTCTCCTGTGTGTCACCTATGAGTAGTTCACTGCAAACCTGATATGGTGCAGAAGTACAGGTGGCCAGTTTGTCCCTTAAAACCTAAGACTGAAAAGTTAGCTTTCTAGTTTTTATTATGGTACCTAAACATATGTAATGTTTATGGTTTAAGTGTCTCTAGCAGCTCTGTGCTTCAGTTTCACACAAATGAGAAAAGTGTCAGAGATCAGTCTTGCAACTTTGTGCTGAAACAGACAGGACAAGGACTAAAGTACTCCTGCTTTTCTTCTTCTTTTTCCAGAAACGCAGGGGTAATAGCCAAACACTACCCTTACCAGCCACGTTTTTTTAACTTTCCCCTCAGGTAACGGAGGGATGGAGGTACAGAGCTCATTCTGCAGCCTAGCAGTATTGCTGCCCCTTCAGTTCTTTACATTGCAATGAAAGCAACACAGTATCTCACACCTCTATTATAACCGCTAGATTTGCAGGCCTCTTACAAAGATGTGATGTATCTATGAGAATCCTTACAATAAGCACAGTATTTCCCCAGCTGCATTAACAATAGCAGCAGAAAAGATGCAAGAGGCTTAAAAAAAAAAAAAAAACTAGAAAAAAAAGTTGGAAGCAAAAGCAATGTGGACGAAGCAGCAGTTTGTTCTTTACTCCTACGCTGCAGTGAAGGGGACCTTCCTCCTTTACCCTGTCTTGCTCTTTCATACCATATGAATATCAACCTCAAAGAAGCCTCCAGTTTACATGTTCTCATCTCCTGTGAAAACAAGCAGACTGACACAGCACTATACCTCACTGCAGAGTCATTTTTAAAAGAAAAAGGCACCTGCACAATGTCTTTAATACAAATTGAAGTAACTAAACTTCCCATTAGGATATGTGGATGATACCAATATTCAGCATGTATCATGCAGCTATAACCTAAAGGTAGCATTAAGTAAGAAGTAACAAAGCAGTTACCTGAGGCGAATCAAAAGGATACCGACTACTGAACTTAAATAGAAGCTGAAATTTCTCCCCTTCATATAGTGTTCCTGGAGCACCTTCCATATCTACAATCCACCTAAGGAATGGGGAAAAATTATTAGTAGTGTGGACTCACAAATTAAAATTTTACTCCTGGAGCACAGGACTAATCAAATCAATTACCAATCACAGCCAGATCTTTTAAGTTCTCTGTCAGTATCATAACTATCATACCTACCTTTGAAAGAAACAAGCTTGGTATTTTACATACATGCATTGACACAATGCTGCAAATTATACAAGTAATTATGACTTGAACTAAATACAGACCCATCAGTTCCCAATAAAATGACTGTTAATGTGAGACAAAGCTGACACAAAAACCTGTTCCAAAGTTTATTCCTACACAAAAACAGGCTTAGAGTTTCAAGGTGTTTTACTTTTCTGTCAAGAAAATCATTGTTACAGTTTATTAAAATAAATTCTGCATCCAAGGGGGAAGAGCAATGCTCCCCTTGCACTTACACCTGTGAAAAACTCCGACATTAAATGGCATATAACCTGGCAGGTAATGGAACCAAAACTGGAAAAAGTTAATAGTATAAAAAGGAAAAGGTCACAGAAAATTAAAAACAAAACAAAGGATGCTTTGCAACTCTAATAAAGATAACACCTCAGCATATCACAGTATAATTTTCCCTCTGCTTCTGCTCCTTCCATCATAATAATGTGGAAGTAACTGACAGGTGGAGTTGTGGGGGCAGGGGGTGTTGGGTGTAGGTGTTTTGTTGGTGGTGGTTTTGGGTAGGGTTTCTTTTAATACAGTCAAAAATAGATGCTTTGCATACTGTTCAACACATACAGCAACACTCAGCTATCTAACTTCTGTCATTTTGGAGTTCTGTTGTTGATCACTATCATTTTTGTGGCATCACTTCCCCATTGCTGTCTTTCACCCTTGATTGAGTTTTACACATTTGAGCAATATGATAAGGTAAAGATTCAGCAAGGGACTACAAAAATGCTCAGATGAGATTTACATTAGACTCAAGTGAGGCAGCTGAGATTTTTCAGAACAATGTGTACAGAAAAGTCGACATCTCCTCCAGCTAGCAGTCTGATGCTCCTATTCCCAACCTCTCCATCCTCCTGTCATATACACTCTTCCTGTGCATTTAAGGTGTGCAGATTTTTTTATCTTCCCCTCTATTTATGTCTTTTTTTTTTTTTTTTTTTTGAGAAAAATTGCTTCTCTACTGAACCACTAGCTGTCACACTCTTCAGGAGGCATGCATCTTCAACAGTAGCATGATGATGGCTGTATGTTCCATGTTTTAATTTTGTGAAGACTCCTTCAAATTAATCTATCTGCGCTCCAGATCACTTCTATCTTCTTATGCCTTCTGCTTTTACATTTACACACACGCTGTACCAATACTCTTCAGCTTTATTGGTCCTTGTGATCCAGAACCTTCACTTTTGAATTTTTATAATAGTTTCATTTACTAAGTAGAAGATAACTCTGCTTGGACATTGCTCCTTTTATGGTCAAGGAATCACTGGAACCCATCTTTCCTGTGTGCTTTATGGTTTAGCCATCTCAAATTTCTAATCCTTGTGTATTTAAAATAGATGATTGCTTAACATTTCAAATGACCCAGTTACATCATGGGATCCAATTATTTTATTCAACATCTTTCAAAACCAAGCTAATATTGCTATACAAATCTTTACTGCACAAGTTCAAACTCTAACTTGATTAATGAACTCAGAACATGGTACTCTGCATCAAAAATCCTCAAAGAGAAAAAATATGGTATTACTTGTGACAGAAAGCTTCTTAAACAGAGACAATTCCCAAATCTAGCACGACAGCAAACAGGAAGTTTTTAGTTGTAAGGTACTGAAAGGTATAAAAATTGTACATAGCAGAAAAAAAAAAGAGGTAGTACTCTGGCAACAGAAATAACCTAAGAAAAATGGAAAACTACAAAACAGAAAAAAAGAAAACAATTGATTTTTTCTTTTCCAACTCTTCATCTGCTGTAAACTTTCACTTAATAGCTGTTTCTGTTTAAATGAATGAAAAACACCTGCAATATTAGTTTGAGTCATTTTTTCAGATAATTTAAAGATTGTATTTCCCAAAGAAAACCCAAAAAAGCAAGAAACACAAGCTGTAAATCAGCAGTTGTACAGCAGTTCATTAATATTTGTAGCAAATTCTGGAGAGTGCTATTTCAATTTTTAGTCATACTCATCTGCATGAACTATTATAAAACCCAGCATCATTTAAAAAGCAATAGCAGTCTTTAACTCAGCATATACAAGGTTCAAAAAAGACTCAGGTAACATGGTCTGAGTGCCACCATCAAAAATGCAGCTGTGAAGCAACATCAGAAGTCAGCTCTAAGTTATGTTTTTAAATTGATCCATCAATCAATAATATAGTCCAGAATATATAGCCCAAGATTCATACTTTTAGAAATATTTACATCTGCTAAGAATTTTTTAACATTTCTCTAAAATTAAACCAAGAAAACTATCTAAAAGAAAAGTGAACACAGTCTGAATCTTTTGACTTTCAGTCAAACTAAACTATTAAAAAATAGTTTAGAAAACAGGAATACCACCCATCCAATTTCAACGGACAGAACATTTAACCATGTTTGTCCTTCTGTTTTGCTAATCACAGAAAAAACTACAGCAGGGAGGAAAGTGCAAAGAATGTACTTAGATAACTTTGTTCTTTAAGAAGCTTCCTCCACTTGCTTTACAGAAAGAAGGTAATAGAAATTAACAGCTACAAAATACACTTAACACAAGTAACATAGAAACTCTAAACCAGCTATTCCATTATTTTAATAAATCTAGAGGGGTTTCAGAGGTTAGTAGCTGTGTGAGATCATTACATTATTTTATTCTAAAATATGCAGAAGCTTTTACCAAGTGGCATTTTGTTAGACAGTAAAATGCCTAATAAAAATTTAATGAATTCACTATCTAGTTCCTGAGAGCGTCCAGCACGTTACAGCAATATGCTCATTAACCAGAACAACGTTTCACTCCCTAGACTAAAACCAAAAATTCAGAACGTTTCTTGGAATAAGTGGTGGAAGTGGCATGCAGAGGACTTTTCATTACTTACATCTTTCAGCTTGATAGCAAAAATAAAACAGTATATGTACTTACTGTGTAATTGAGTTTTGTACACTCTTTTCATTTAGAGTCATTCCTGGAGGTGGATCATTTTGAAATGCCAATAGTTCTTTTTGTAACCGTTTCTATAAAGAAATTGTATAGAAAATTTGAAATATTAAATAAAGTTCAACAATAAACACGCACACTAAAGTACATTTCAGCAATTATTGAAAGGCAAAAGGAGATTAATTTGAAAATTTAAATACAAAGTGAAACTGAAAGGTGAGAAAGGGAGAAGACTCCTCTCCTAAAAATTAAACTGAAAAGTCACAGGCAAAAAAAGTCACAGGCTTAAAACCTACTTTTTTGGTTAAATGCAATGGCACTCACATTTGTAACACTGCTAAGTGAAGAACTGTTGCATTACAAAACTGGAGGTATCCAGGATTTTGTCATATTACAAAGATGTCAATCAGAGCTCTCTAAATCTAGCAGTGAACATTGCATATTCCCCTGTTAGCATCAGATTTACAATTAATTCTCCAAGATTTTAACAGCACAACTCTTCCTCCTCTGAGTAATTCAAGACACTTCTATCTGGCATCTGTGTGAGCCTTTGCCTTGTTCTAAGTCATCCCAGAGGACAGAACACAAAACTAAAACAAGACTATGTGACTTGCAGAACACAAACTATTTTATAACTCTGTAATAACTGCATCTTGGAACCTACAGAGTTGTAAAATTCAAAAAAGTGTTACACCAGTAGCTCAGGTAATTCTTATCTATTTTGACAGGGATAAATCAGGAACTGTAACCAATAGATTCTATAACAACTACCAGAACTGTTTCTTACAATCTACGGAGCAAGGGAAATGCAACCTCTGTGAAATGGTATCATTGCCGCTGGTTTCAGAGTGTATTTTCTTCATATAAACAGTTATGCAATATGTTTTGTCATTTCCAAGCCATCTAGATAATGTAAAGTTCAAGGCTTTTTCATTTCTTGCTCTTCTTTTTCCTGCCAACAATTTTAATGTTTACTGCCTACGAGTCCACTTCCATCATCCTACTAGTCAAAATGACCTTACGTAAGATTTAAGCCTGATCTAGCACTCAAGAGGAGTAAGCATATATGGCTGGGGTTTAATATCTAATTTTGATTCAACATATATTTGTTTAAAATCTAGGCTTATCACACACTTGTAGCTGTTTCTTACTAATTTTCCAAACAACTTTTCTGATACTCGGTAGAACTTACAAAAATCCATAGGGGAAAATAAAAAGTGTTCATTTGTCAACATAGAAGTGATTCAGTATCTCATTAATACCTTGGAAATAGGACTGCAATAAATTCAGACATACAACTCCTGAAGAAAACTCCCCCATACATTCACAATTTACATTTTGAAATAACTGTCTGTCTCTATCAGCCCTGAAAGCTTGCTTTGGGCTTCTATTTTTAAAGTGCCAAACCTGAATCCAAATACACACTTCAGAAGTCTTGTTTTTGCAAGCAATTAAACAGATATGTTTTGAAGTGAAATGTTATGTCATAAAAGAATTATAAAGGCTGTTATAATTGGTGTACAGATATAAACAAACTGAAAAAACAATGCTAGCATTTTCATAAGAAAGCTATATACATTGCTAACAGTGACAAACACATTAGGTTCCTAGTCTTCACCTTTTGGTTTCTGCACAGTTTAAGAAAATTTTATATAATAAACACTAACAGTGTTTAACACCACTATTATGAATTAAACTGCAAAAGAACAAAGGCCCAAAACCATTTTACAAATCCTTAATTTGAGGGGCAGAGATGTTTTGAAGTCAATTCTCTTTCTGATGCTTTCCAAGATCATCATCAAATAAACCTCAATGGCAGTCAACCTGTGTATGCCTTGTCATACAGATCATCATACAGAGAAATATTTCAAAAGTTCAGAGATGAGAACCTTATATGATAAGGGAAAATTCAAACTCTTTCTTTTTAGGAAATTGGGTAAAAAAAGTAAAGAACAAATGAACAGCATATAAGAACAGCAAATAATTCAGTAGATCCATTTATTTATACATCTGGACCAACTATACAACCGTCTTTATAAAAAGGAGCCTAAAATACATTTTAAATTTAAATTAAACCCAGCCACATTAAGGTATCAGTATCTGATCGAACACAGTAATTTGAAAAGAGGAAATTTTGGTTGTTCTGTATCCTACCAAAAATTCCAAATTATCAAACTAAAATGTCCTCTCATTTGAAATTTGGACCTTTGGTTCTTTTCTCCAGCAACCATCTTTTCAGTCTAATACAGTCTCAGACACTCTCTTACCCATCTCACCAATGCAAAAATATTCTCTCAGACTGCTTCACAGCTTTTCAGTTCTCACATATAATATTTATGGTTCTTTCTAAAAAAACAGTACCCAAGGGGAAAAAAACAAAAAACCAAAAAAAACCCTCAAAATGCATATGTGATCAGCAGAGTACCACTGAAGTGCTCTGTTCCTCTGGTCTTAAACATTTGCTGACACTGTCATGGGGGCCTATCCATTAAATGCAAATAATACATACAGACGATACATTGCTTCTCATCAGTTGCAATACAAAATATATTAAGATCCAAAAATGCATCCCAGAGAAACAACAGGAGATACCATTTACACCGAGTCAAAAGTATCACAGTAAACAAAATCATATTTTTAAAGACAAAAAAGAAATGAGCATTTCCAAGTCAGTCAGTTCAAACAAATGTCAATATAAGTTCAGTCTGACCTATACTTGCAGCTCGCAGTGAGAACATCAATGAAAAAAATACATTTTTGATTCAACATATATTTGTTTAAAATCTAGGCTTATCACACACTTGTAGCTGTTTCTTACTAATTTTCCAAACAACTTTTCTGATACTCGGTAGAACTTACAAAAATCCATAGGGGAAAATAAAAAGTGTTCATTTGTCAACATAGAAGTGATTCAGTATCTCATTAATACCTTGGAAATAGGACTGCAATAAATTCAGACATACAACTCCTGAAGAAAACTCCCCCATACATTCACAATTTACATTTTGAAATAACTGTCTGTCTCTATCAGCCCTGAAAGCTTGCTTTGGGCTTCTATTTTTAAAGTGCCAAACCTGAATCCAAATACACACTTCAGAAGTCTTGTTTTTGCAAGCAATTAAACAGATATGTTTTGAAGTGAAATGTTATGTCATAAAAGAATTATAAAGGCTGTTATAATTGGTGTACAGATATAAACAAACTGAAAAAACAATGCTAGCATTTTCATAAGAAAGCTATATACATTGCTAACAGTGACAAACACATTAGGTTCCTAGTCTTCACCTTTTGGTTTCTGCACAGTTTAAGAAAATTTTATATAATAAACACTAACAGTGTTTAACACCACTATTATGAATTAAACTGCAAAAGAACAAAGGCCCAAAACCATTTTACAAATCCTTAATTTGAGGGGCAGAGATGTTTTGAAGTCAATTCTCTTTCTGATGCTTTCCAAGATCATCATCAAATAAACCTCAATGGCAGTCAACCTGTGTATGCCTTGTCATACAGATCATCATACAGAGAAATATTTCAAAAGTTCAGAGATGAGAACCTTATATGATAAGGGAAAATTCCCTTAAAGAGGAAATTGGGTAAAAAAAGTAAAGAACAAATGAACAGCATATAAGAACAGCAAATAATTCAGTAGATCCATTTATTTATACATCTGGACCAACTATACAACCGTCTTTATAAAAAGGAGCCTAAAATACATTTTAAATTTAAATTAAAACCAGCCACATTAAGGTATCAGTATCTGATCGAACACAGTAATTTGAAAAGAGGAAATTTTGGTTGTTCTGTATCCTACCAAAAATTCCAAATTATCAAACTAAAATGTCCTCTCATTTGAAATTTGGACCTTTGGTTCTTTTCTCCAGCAACCATCTTTTCAGTCTAATACAGTCTCAGACACTCTCTTACCCATCTCACCAATGCAAAAATATTCTCTCAGACTGCTTCACAGCTTTTCAGTTCTCACATATAATATTTATGGTTCTTTCTAAAAAAACAGTACCCAAGGGGAAAAAAACAAAAAACCAAAAAAAACCCTCAAAATGCATATGTGATCAGCAGAGTACCACTGAAGTGCTCTGTTCCTCTGGTCTTAAACATTTGCTGACACTGTCATGGGGGCCTATCCATTAAATGCAAATAATACATACAGACGATACATTGCTTCTCATCAGTTGCAATACAAAATATATTAAGATCCAAAAATGCATCCCAGAGAAACAACAGGAGATACCATTTACACCGAGTCAAAAGTATCACAGTAAACAAAATCATATTTTTAAAGACAAAAAAGAAATTATCATTTCCAAGTCAGTCAGTTCAAACAAATGTCAATATAAGTTCAGTCTGACCTATACTTGCAGCTCGCAGTGAGAACATCAATGAAAAAAATACATCCATGTTATTCCCATATAAAGCTGAAAAGAGAACATTCAGTAGAAAACAGGTATGTTATCTGACTGTTAAGCCAAAGAAGCTCGGTGACATTAAGTCCTCCAGAAAAGCCAAAAAATGTTGTAATGAAATGAAAAGAAGCTTTAGCAAAGAAACTTCTCACTTTGAAATAAGGGAATCCACAAAGAAAACCTGACTATGATTACCTATTATGCACAGAAAACTCCAGTGCAATTCTGATTAACAGTGAGTTCCTAGTCACAGCTCCACATTGGAAAGGTAGCAAGGGGATGCAGAGACCAAGAAACCCACAGCTCTTCTGGGCTTGTTCTTCATTCAGAGGAATGTCCCAAACAGAACCAAGTATCAGCAAAAGGCATACCCTTCAGCCTTACTGTAACCACTATAAAGCTATGCCCATCTGAAGTATCAGCTGTGATCTCCATTATACTATGCCCTGATGGGTTTAATGTATCTCAACATTGCTCCCCATCAGGGTAATGCGGGGTGGGGAGAAAAACAACATGCCACCAAAAAAACCCCCACAAGTTAAAAGAATCTCACCCCAGAATTACAGGCAGTCAGGACAGAAGACCAACAATGGCTTTAGAGATGGCACAGAAACCTTTTCATTTTTATTCTCTCCAGCTATACTGACTATCCT